ATGAAAGGCGTCCGGCTCGTTTTTCACTCGCACTATTACCGGCTATTTCCGTGCTGAAATGTGCCGTAATAACACTCTGAGACCTCTGCAACTCCAGAGATGGGAGGCCCTTTCAGCTCTTGTAATACAGTAGGTGAGAGGCCACAAATACTGCAGCCATGGTGGCGGTTGTCATGGCGACTTGAGCCCTTGATGCCAGTGCAAATCTTCCCCTGGCTTCTCTGCTTAGATCCAAAAGCAGGATCCTGGGCTGCAACCACCGCTGAAGAGGATCATTTTTTTTCTCTTATTCGCTCATTCCTGCCAATGAGCTGATGATGCATGTCGGGGTAGAGTAAAAGCCAGCTGAAATGGCACGCTCAGTCGAGACTGAAGACTAATGGACTCATTCAGTGCAGCCAAATGTTGTGCGAAGAGGATAAACAACCTTTTTGGCTTTTTTCTCTCTCTCTCTTTCAGGCTGCTTTCTTCCCGGCGCTGATATAAACAGATGGGAAAATGAGTTTTGTTTATCATAGGAAACAGGTGCTTGCATGCACATAATCACATGCCATACACAGAAGAATAGCCCTCCCGTGCCCACTTGTGGCTCGGAGAATGGGCTCCAGCTGGGCATGGTGTATGTTTCACAAACGAGTGTTTTGAGCGCCCTTACAGGAGCCATTCATCTGAGGATATGACTGTTCACGGGGGACAATGAGAGCCGATAGGGTCCCTGTGATTGTGATAAATGAGCTGACACAAATTAGAGCATGAGATGCAGGCTAATTACAGGAGATTTCAGCCCCTTTAAAGTAATAGCACACAGGCCCACAGAAGGCAGCCCACTGCAACAGACAGACCTCCACGAGCCCTGCTGTCATAGCGAGGGGGCTTTTTTCCTGTGTGGTGTGTGTGTTTGCGTGTGTGTGGTGTGTGAGGTCATGAGATGCACATTTTGAGCGCATGCGAGCATAGGTGTGAGAAAAGAGAGGAAGGCTTTCCTGCTTGTTTGTCAGCTTGTCAGATATCATACTGGGTGTTTTTTCTCACCTCCGTTACATTGGAGCTCACATTAAAGAAGTGACATCGCAACTTTCACCCACTTCGTCTTTCCTTCGTTTGGGGTAAGCACAAAAGTTAACCTTAAAATAATGTAAATTGACCTTTTTTCTGGCCTGTGAGGACAATAAATTGCATTTTGGTGAGTTTTAAAATATATTTTTATGGTATCTGAGTATTCTGAGTTGCGATAGTTTTATAGGGAGCCAGTTTCATGCATACAGAGACTTTTTCAGACTTTAGCAATGTTTTACTTTTCATATAAACCTTTTGTGACTTACAGAAACATATATGGTAAGAGCTGCTGGATCATACTGCTGTATGCACTGATCAGTTTATTTAATTCTTCCATTAAGGTGCTTTATTGTGTTTACAGTCAAAAATAATCAGTCATTGTTTTCAAACTGTACGAAACTCTTTTTGAGATCATTCAGTCATGACTGAATCTGAAAACTGTCTCCTGTCTGTCACTGCATAGCTAAATCATTCCTACATACGTTTGCACTTGAGAACAGCCGTGGCAAAAGCTATTCTTTTTTCTGTTTATCTATTTAACAGAAAGATGAAAGTGTTAAGAAGCAGTTTTATTAGGTGTTGCCATTCTGAATTTACAGTAACATCAAAGCACAGGGGAAAATGTTGCATAGTCGCAGTTTCCTGACACCCTTCTGTTGTCACCATTTCTAAGAATAACAACCAGCACATTTTCTTCTTGCTGAACTTACAAACGTGTATCAGCGGGATTGTGCCACATGTTAACTACAATAGAGAAAATGTTTTTAAGCTGGATGTATCTCCAATTTTTTAAATTTACTTACATTTACAGAGTGCAGGCAGGGTGGGGCAGGTGGAGACGAGTGTCAATGGTGATTTGTGTCAGAAAGATGGCCGCAAAAGTGATAGAGAAGATGTCTATGATGTCTAGAAGTGGCAGAGTTGAAGATGTTGAAATTCTTATTGAGAGTGACCAGGATGGACAGGATTAGAAATAAGTACACAGTACACGGTTACAGCTCAGGCAGATGATCCACCGTGCTGATAACTGCTTGACAAGTTCAGGGTTGCGGAATAGCTAGTCTATCCCAGCTGTCACAGAGCAATAGGCTCTAGCTTTCCCATGACAAATTAAGAGTGAGTCATAGGTTTGACACAGAAACGTAGACAGCCATTCACACCTACACCCCATTTAGAATCACTAGTAACCAAAGCACCCACAGCAGGGCCCCAAACAATCTGCAGATTCAAAACCAGAACCTTCCTCTTGTGGGATAACACAAGCCACTCTTTTCTTCTTTCGTTCTTCAAACTTTAAGGGTTAGCTAAGCGGATATAGTGGTCATCAAATCCATCCAAATTACATGGTTGATTAAAATAATCAAATTACAGCATTTACATTTATGTTAGACTACTTTTAATTAACTGCTTTAGCCTACTTACAATGAAAATGAAAAAAAAAAATCTTGTTCATGACCTTTGTAGTATATTAACACTATTGGAAGTAAAAATAACTTGAACTCCAATTTTGAAAACACAACTTTTCTTTTTTTTTTTTAAATAAAGCTCTGACTTGTATTATGAGTCCGTGGTCTGGGAGAGAGTCTGTAACTCTCTGTCTGCAAAATACAGTATATAATGACCAGTGTTCGGCAATTAATTATATAGTTACTTCTTCAAAAAAGTTACTGAGTTATGCAAACAAAGTTTTTTGCAGCCGTTTACCTAAAAATGCAGCCAAGGCATTTTTTAAATAAACATTTAAAACTATTTACAGAACAATCAGCTGTTCTGCATCAAATCTGATGCCACACAAATTATTTGTGCCACTCCAAAAAATCATTTCTGTCCACTATGAAATAAAGGAGAACAACAGCCTCATACCTGCAGGCAGTGTTGGTCAAGTTACTTGAAAAAGTAATAAGTAACTAATTACTGATTACTTCCCGCCAAAAGTAATCCCATTACTTTACTGGTTACTTATTTTCAAAAGTGATTAATTACTTAGTTACTTTTTTAAAACACGATTTACAACTGAATAGGTGATAAAGCGATAGATCTTTCAGCCCAATTCTACTTTTTCTGCATAATCCATCATACAAAATGTAATCAAATGGAAAAGTCTCTTTTTAAAACTTGTTTTATCAGTTTTAATCTTTTAACTTTATGCATCAAGCAAACATTAAATTATATGCAACATTCTCTGACTGGAAGAAATTTGTTTAATATTTAAACCTATTTTCTGCACATTCCAGCACATAAAATAAAATATTTTTTTGGTGTTTACACTCAGTCTTTCAAATAGATGCAAGTAAAACACAGCAGAAAATAAATAAAGTCAAAGACTAGCGGTCCTGTTGCTCTATTTTCACCTGTAAAGTAGGGTAGGCGGAGGTTTACCCTGGTGCAGGTGTGCTGCAGTGGTCAGTGGAAGAATCTGCGAGATTCTCTGTGAATTTCCCATTACGTTGTAGCGCACTCGGTGCTTGCTTGGAAGTTTAGGGTTTTTTTTTCGCTCTCCCCACTCCATATATTATCCATTGTTGATCTGCACACAGCTGTTGTCACAAATTTCGCACTCGCTTAGGTCACTGTCATGAGACATTCTCGCAAAAAACTCACGGTTTTAGTAACGCAGTAACGCAGCGTTCCTACGGGAATGTAACGGTAATCTGATTACCATTTTTGCAATAGTAATCCCTTACTTTACTCGTTACTTGACAAAAGTAATCGGAGATGGGCAGTAATGCGTTACTTGTAATGAACTTGATTTAGTTCTTTTGTCTCCTGCTCAAGCTGTGGTTTGCAGTACGATGTTGAATTTAACACTAAAAAGAGTGTAATAATGAGTGCCTCATGTAAAGAGGACTGGTAGCAAACTATTTACTGATTCTGTTTGGGAGGTAAAGTTTTAAATGTAGTGACTTTAAGTTAGTTATTTAACTCATGTCATCAGAAATGATGGCCAATGTTGTAAACTTTATGCACAAACAAATATGCTAGTCTGTAATTTCTACAGGTGCACAGATTATGTTAAAATAACTCTTTTTTTAGAGACTGTTGTACTGTACTTTATGCACTTACAGTATACCATAACAAAGCGTCAGGTAGCATATAATTACTTAGGCTTCCTTGATGGGACAAGTGCAAGACAAATGTTGGTGACTGGTAATGTTTCATATCGTTAGCTTCATAGCATAAGTGCCTAAGTCATTTTTTGGTCAAATTGAGATTTTTGCCTAACTTTACTCCCCTACCACTGCTGCATCATCCTGTCCGTCTGCCTATGTCATCACAAAAAAATGACTTAGGCACTTATGCTATGAAGCTAACGATATGTAAATGTATGTGTTCATTAATTGATTCAGAAAAGCTGGTCACAGTGATTTTAGCTGTACCGTCTTTTAGTGATAGGAGAAACTTAAATATATATGTTATACATTATATATGATATCATAGATATTTCTCGTTCGTCTGGACAATTGTCTGTTCACACTGTAACTTATAACGATTGCATTTTTGTGGTGTCTTTTATTAACTTTTATAAAAAAAAAATAAAGATCACTTTATATCAGTTGTAAATGTGCAGAATAAATGGAGAAAAATAAAAAAATAAAGCCTTTTTAATGATATTTTGTTTTACGCCTGGCATTAAGTTATGCTACAATTAACATTTCTATACCCTGAAAAACCGACAGAAAGTTGAGAGAATAATTTTTTTCTTCATATTCTACTGTTTATTATTATTTTTATATAATATTTTTAGATTTTTAGAATTCTTGTTTTAATTCAATTTTTTAATTTATTTTTTTGGCAATTTAATTTTTAAAATATTTTCTTTCTACTCTATTTTTTTCCTTTATTTTATTTTGATACGACGATGACGTCGCAGATTTCTAGCAGACCGTAAGCGGGCGTGGTTAGAGGGTTTTCGTTGGGCCAATCAGGAGCGCCTAATGTTAATGAGCTGCAGGAGTCGGTGTGGTGAGCGGTTCTCCGGAGTAGAGGAGTAGAAAGCGGCGGACTGGAGTCAGCTAGATCATTGCGTGTTTCTCTGCATATGAATCTCTGGATGGCTGGTTAACCGCACAGGAAGAAGAAGAAGAAAAACTCTTAATAGTGCCTCCGGTTATTCCGACGTGCCGCTGTGTGTCGCGGTAAAGCGGATATTTCTCACTTTGACTGGAGTCAGAAAGAAAAGCGGCAAGATGAAATACAAAGTAAGTGAAGCGCCGCGGGCTGGATTTGATGCTACATCTCAGTTTTTTGTGTTATTAAGGCTGGATATTTGTTGTGTTGTTTAACCTGGATAATGACAACAAATCTTGATGCTGTCGGAGACTTCTTTTTGAGTCGACGTGAATGTGAAATGTTAACGCTTCTGTATTCGTGGCGGTAATCACAACTTATTTCAGTGAATACATCCGGGTTGCTTTTTTCTTATGAACTGGTTAAAAAAAGAAGGGGAAACTGCACTAATGACTTGCTGAAACGTGCCTTTTTTGTTTCTGCTTGATGTGTGTGTGTGTGTGTGTGTGTGTGTGTAGTCAGTATGCGTCACTTTAAATCTGCAGGTTACGTTTTCCATCACAGGGGCGTAAAGGGAATTAAAATGAAAACAACTTTGAGGCCCCCTCCTTGGACTCACCACAACATTAGATTAGACAATGTCAGAAAATTGTATTTTTTTGAAGTCTAAAACCTGAAGATATCAGGTTATGACAAAGAAATTTGTGACAAATACACATTATAGGAGGTGTAATTAGCAAATACTTAGAGATATTGTTTAAAAATGTTTTTAAAAAGGAGTATTGGGTTATGAAAGCGGTTGTAAAAAAAAATAGATAAAAAAAAAAATCTTTAGAAAAGATTCATGGTAGTGGATGTGGAGTGACATTACATTGTTGTTTGGCTTGGCTCCTTGGAGATCAAAATGCTCAGCTAACCGCAGGTCATTTCCACAACAGCTGAAAGCCCCCCCCCCCCCCTCAGAGATATTTAGTTTAGTGCTATAAATCTGTGATTATTATCCTGTTTTTGATGCTGTGGATATTTTATGGTAGTGGGTTTTCTTTTGTGAGTAAACCTCGCTGTAATGTGGTTTAGGATGCTGTAAAATCAGACAAGCTCTCAAACAGACAGAAAAGACTGTTGTTAATGCTGTCAAATGCAGTTACTGGGATTAAAAGGGAAAGTCACCTCTGCATCATCGGCTACAACCGCAGGTCTTTACATCAGGGTGTAGACAATTGGAGGCTTCGACAGTGATGGATGGAACAGCTGGATGTCACTTCATCAGGAGGAAGCTTTGAATTTACTCTGGATGTGATTGCATTTTAGCACTTTTCCTTTGCTTCATGTTCTTGGGTCTGAGGTCTTCCTTGCCCTGTTAAAGGGGCAATAGTCTTTTGTGAGGATTTTGGGGGTTTTGAGGGCACTTGATTCAGTTTTCACTGGCTGTTTTCTGATGTGTGAAGTAGCTGTTTGCCTCAGTGTTGGCTGGGATTCTCTCTGCTATGAGGTTTGGCTTTTTTTTCTTCAGTGTTCTGGTCACTCTTCAGCAGATTTGTGACTGGAGGGCGTGCTCGCTGCATATGTGCGTCATGCTCACTGACTCATTGTCCTGTCAAGTACACAGTTCACAGAGCCAAGGGTGATAGTTTGGGTGTGAGGCCAGAGGAGGATTTGAAAGTGGGGAAATAACTTCGAGCATGTCTCCACGGTCACTGTATTCAACCTGAACAATGAGACTGATCAGTGCATGCTCATAAATATGATAAACACCACCGTTTCAGGCCATTATCAGCCTGTAGGGAGGATATCTGTGCAGTATACACACTCCGCTCTCTGACGTCTGACTCCTTTGTTTGTCACATTCAGAAGATAGCCAGAGCACAGAGATCATGTAGACAGCGCTCTTTGTTTACAATAAACATATCCACGTTATGCAAGGCTGTGGCAGAGGAAAGGAGGGTGGGAAATCAGCCCAAGGCTCCGGTTAGGTGACACATTTCACGTCACTACTGCGATTATCTAGTTTCAGCCGGTCGCAGCTCTACTGCATCACATCCCGACAGCCACCCGATATTTACAGCTATATTAAGAGCGTCCCTGTCCTCGCAGAGTGGTAGTGTTTCAACACATGCTTAACAAGTGAGGCCGACCCCTCCCCGTCATGTGGTTCACGTGACCTGAGGTGAGGCGCCGCGGTCTGATCAGGCGCCTCTAGAGATGGTTTCCAACAGGTGTTCAGGTGTGAAACGGAGTGCCTTTTTCCATAGGTCACCAAATGTGTGTAATCCCCATGATGATCCTCACAGAGGCGGAGCTCTTCCAGGGAAATGGAGGACAAAGAAAGATGAGACATAAATTAGTATGAAGGGGACCCATTTTGCTTTTTCCTTATTTTCTGTCTTGTCACTGTTACAGAGGCGGATGGTTATATTTTTAGTTTCACTTAATGAGGTCTGTGTTTAGTGAGTAATCCCTGTGAGCCAAAAGCTCGGGCTCTAAACGCTCAGATTCAGACAGTTTTTTTCTACCTTTGGGTCTGAGTGATGTCATAGAGCGGAGATATTCCTCTTACGGCCATCACAGTCACACAGCTATGGTTCTTAGTACATAAAGCCCCACCCACCTACAGTTTGAGCCTTCTGTTTGTGAGGGGCAGCCAGTCAGAACAAAGTTGGCCTCAAGGGGGAGGAGCTAAAACAGCTTGTTTCAGACTGAGCAAAGCTGTTCTGTAGAGTTCAAGAACAAAATATGGAGATAGAGAGGATCATGAGAGATTCAATTTGCTTATTGGCTTGGAGATACTTCACATACCATAGTATAACGACTGGAAACAGGAGGAAACTGCCAGCCAGGCTCTGTCCAGTGCTAACAAACGCCAACAGTAACGCTAAAGCTCCATAATTAACCTGCTGCTTTTGTGATAACAGGTAAAAACGATCAACTCCTTTAATGCTTTTGAGTTAAAGCTCTCTATATGATGCCTTAAATGAAAGATGTCCCTGCTGGAAGTTGGACTTGGACATGGAGAATGTACTTGCCCAGAACTGTCCTTTTAAAGGGTCGTGACACAGTTTTAAACACCCAGGTCTCATTCCTTTGTAGCTGATGTAACCGTTGTAGAAATAGCTCCACAACCAGAGTGAAGAGTGATTAGATGAAGCCAAACTCTGGCCCAAAATGTGCTTTTCAAAGTGTTTGTATTTTTTTTAATGGGTTCAGGTTCTAGGCAGTCAGCCAGCACTGAAGGGAACTGGAGGAGAGAGCATAGCAGACATTGTTCTAAGAGTGAGGAGGAGGATCTGTGGTGCTGAAAGGGCCTGCAGAAAATGAAAAGGAGAGGAAGTTGCGGGAAAAACGAGAGGGCAAACAGAGTTGGTTGGATAGTGGGGGTCGAGCCGTTGGGGTGGGGTTGATGGGAGTCGGGGAGGTCGAGGAGCGCCCCGTGAGAATGAGTGCATTCCAGGCGATCGTGCATGGGAAGGTTGTTCAGAGGATGCACATGATTGTTTCAAGGTGGCCCTTCACATTGATAATGAGCCTTACAGCAGGGGTTCTTTTCTTTTCCCAGCTTGTTTGCTTACGCAGGGGGTGGCATTGTGTAGTCCTTCCAGAAAGAGACATTTGTATTCTTCTGAAAGAAATTCCTTGAGAGGAACCCAGTGCCCTTTTCAAGAGAACTCTGCAAATTATATGCACTTAAGCATTATTTCACATTGCTTTTTCCCATCTTAACTTCAAAGCATTTATTATTCTGTGCCTGCTCAGATGTCTGAACAGTGACATGTAGCTTTTGTAGCCCATGTGTGTCAGCGATTTCCTGTCCCTTTGCCCAACTTTGCTCCTGTGTAAGATTTTCAGATAGTGCAAAGAGCTACTCCCCCAGTGTCAATGAATAGCGACCCCCCAACCTCCCCTCTCTGCGCCCTCGCACCGTGAGCCAGCCATTAACATTTGAAAACAGCCAGCGGGGAGACAGACTACAATGTGGACTCGTTTTAGAAACAGACTCACCAACAATGCAAAGAACCATTTCCACGGTTGAGCTCCTCCTTCCTTCCCTCAAGGAATGCCAGCTATTTCACAGGGTCATCCTTCAGGATCTAGTGGGCTCCCGTCAAGTCGGTTCGACTGCACGGAGAGTCTGTTTAATAGCTGAGCTGACTTGTGTGCGCTCTGGATATGTGTAGGGTAGAAGCAAAGGTCCTCTAGCAGGCCGACAGCATCGTAGTTTTAAAGCATGTGAGATTGCATTAGTCTTCTTTGTCATGTGGCGAAGCTGAGCAGTGTGTAGACAGTCGTTTGGGGGAAAAGCAATTATAAGAAGCTGCTGTATACAGGTAAAAAAAAGAATACTAAACATTGCTAAAAGTTTTAAATAAAGAGGTCAAAGTGTATATAAATTACATGAATTCAGAGTACTCTAAACAACCCATTTGAGGCTTTTATTCGCTGTCCCCCCCCGCTCTGTATGATGGAGGATGATATGTCCAGTACAGCCATCTAAGGTAAATTTAACTGTTTGTGAGTGCAGAAGCCCCACTCGAGGGGCAGCCAATCAGAACTTTGTTATAACTTAGTTCACCCAATGTCTGTTCTAGACAGTGGGTGAACTAAGGGGCTACCCCATGGTGGAGTCTAAGATCATTATTATTTTTTTATGCATGAATCATGTTGTTGAAATAAACCTAGTAAGTCCTCTTAAACCACTTCCTTCATCCTTTTAAACAGTTACTCATTCATTTCCACACACATCATTTTCAACACTTTCCCTTGAGCAACGTAGACGCGGACGAAGAAAAGCAGAATCAAAGATTCGTACACAAGATTTGTCTATGAAAGTTGGTATAAAATGCAAAGACGGCTCATTTTGGGAAAACAATCTGAAGTTTACGATCGATAAGCAAGATAACTTCACATATTCATATGTCATTAAACTTCTTTTTATCAGTCAGGAAAGTTGATATTTATTAATGAAAATATTCCTGATATTGCCTTTTTGGATTTTTTTTTTCCATTTGTTGGCCAAAACAACCCATAGCTGTTGGTTATTGAATCTATTTGACATTTCATACACCAAATTATCCATTCAAATATAAAAATAAATAAATAAATATATATATCTCATCTAATCATAATGAGAGTATCCCTTAGTTTAAAAGGCACTTAATCAAATGCAGTAAAGTGTTAAAAGGGGGAATCTTTCTCC